CCTCTGTTTTTACCCCTTTATTTCCCCGTTTCCCCCTCTTTTCCCCCCCCCCAAGACCCCCTCCCACGGGGGTTTCTTCTTCTCAGGGGTTCCCCCCAGCTCAGTGCCTTCCCTTTCTGCCCCCAGGAAACGGGACAAGGGGAAGGCACAGCCCCCTCCCCCCAAACCCCCCAAGGCCCCCAAGGCCCCTCGGCGGCGGGAGAAGCGCCAGGAGACCCCTCCCCAGGTAAGAGTTTGGCAGCTCAACCCCCGAGGTGATTTTGGGGTCCCCGCCGTGGTGTTCTCCCAGCTCTGGCTCTGCCTTGGTGGGGTCTGGGGGGGTTTTGGGGTGTCAGGGCCCCCCCTCACCCCTCTCTCCCCCCAGAAGCAGCGGCGGCGCCGGGGGGGTCCCGGGGGGTCCGAGGCCCGGTTCAACGAGCTGGTGGAGAGGTACAAGAGGAAGATTTTGGGGAGCCAGCTCCCCACGGCCCGAGGGGGAAAGTGGTTCGAGAGCTGAGATTCCCCCGGCACCCCAAACTCCCCCCCAGCACCCCAAACTCCCCCCCAGCACCCCAGCCCTCCCCCCGGGGGTGCTGGAAAGGTCACAGGCCCCACACCCCCCGCTGTGGGGGGTTTGGGGTCCCTGCTGGGGGGTGGGACCCAACCCTGCCCCCCCCAGGGTTTGGTGGTGCCCCCCATCCTCACTGTCTGTTCCTGGGTTTTAATAAAAAAGTGTATTTTGTGGACGATTTGTGCCCTCAGCGTGACCCCCAACCCCTGGGACCCCCCTGGCACCCCAAAACCACCCTGAACCCCCTCCCCTGGGCACCCCAAGACCTCACCCCTGGGACCCCAACCCCCCACCTCTGGCCCGGGGGGGCACCCCGAGCCCCCCCTGTTCCCCCTCACCCCCCCCCAGCTCTGGGTGCTGGGGGTGCAGCCCCCTGGGTGAGGGGTGAGGGGCAGGGGTGGGGCTGGGGTGGCCCCCAGGGCAGGGGGGGCTGGAGGGGCTTCAGGGAGGGGGGTGGGGGAGACCCCCCCGGGGGGGGTTTGCGGGCTCAGGGTGCCCTG